TTCATCATTTGTGAAGTCAATTAATTTTCAAGTGGGGCAATAACTTGTCGATTAAATCGCATAAGAATTATGCGTTTTTTACGAAATAATTAGGATTAAAAATACCGAATAAATGGTTTAATTGTATCATGTTAACCGTAAAATTGTTGCTGCCCAATCAATTTATTTCGATACATAAAAACATCCTTGTTTAAATTTTGTCCTGTCGGTAGACTGTATACGCCGGATACACTGACAAACATTCTCTGTAAATATGTAACTAATTATTCTATGAAAATTCAGTTTGATGACGAGAAATAACAAAATCGGGTTGCGGATTTTGTAACTGAAGTACAACTATTGAGAAGCTAAGAAGTCCTATATAATAATATTGATTATTCTAAGGGTAGATTAGTTTTAACATTATGCAAGTAAAATCACTTTGATATTCTACTTACCAAGTAGAAATTCCCACTAATGAAATTGTTAAAATATTTATTCACGGTACTGAAGAGCAGTACACACTAATGATTAAAATAAGTGATCACATTCTAGTAACATTGGACATTAGTTATAATTTATCTTATTATGACCCATCTACTCTTATTGCTTAGTATTCTTGAACACTAATTCACTTGAGAAGTCCCCAAATCAAATACAATTGGACAGGAACGTCACTATATTCCAAATAAAATGGTAGGATGAAAGTAGAAATCACAATAAGAGAAACGTTAGCATGTTTATAATTTTTACATAAGTAGATTCTAGAGTCATCCTCAAGTATCCGTTAGCGCTGATTGGATAAAAATAGCCAACCAGCATGCCCAGTCCATAAAGTCACCCATATTGGTAGATGAAAACTACTTGATTGGGGTCTGTGCGACTATCTTAACAAATGGTAGGAGACTCGGGGTGACATGGCTTAAAATCGATCACAATGGCGTAAGTGTACACATTCTTTGTTTTCCCCTAAACTGTGAGATTAAAATTACTTTGTATCTTTATTTCTACGAACTAACTCTTTCTCCCTGCATCATATCCTAATATGAAATGTTTTTTTACTACCATGGAAGTAACTATTTCTATGAATTTGTTGTGCATCGTGTTGTGCTAATGAGGTATGGAAACTTGGACCGATGCATAGATGTGCCAGGTTTTAAGTTGCAGCTGACTGAATCAACGTGCTCTAACACAATCCTGCACGGAACATGCCCTAATCCCATCTATATCCCGATAACAACACTAATAATCACTACCAGTATAAATTTAGTCTTGGGACTAGATAATAACACTGACTATTAAAATTTCAATTATCAAATTACCTGAACTAATTCGCATTGGTCAATTTGTAATGATCAAATTATTTAGCATATTCCGGTTCCTTTAAAACGGGTTTTCATACACAGACTGCCTATGTGAAAGCTGGTTATGTTACATGTGAATAAATACCACTTCAAAAATCATTTGCTGTTCTCAGATTATTCATTATTTCATTTATTGACCAAAAAACCTAAAGTGAATGCAATAGAATCAAAGAACTCAGCTAATATCCCTTATGTACTAACAGACAAAAATGTTTTGATATTTGGGTTTGTTGAAATTCCTCAGATGAAAATAGTGATGAGATTAAATGCGATTTTCCTCCCATAATTACAGAAAACGAAAGACAATTTGAACGACAACAATTAAGGAATCATTAAATACAATCCTAGGAAAAGGTATGCAGGATTTAGTCATTTTCATTGTATAACAACCTTACATGATGCTCAAAATTAAAGAAGTCCCTTAGAAAAGAAAAAATAGAGATAAAAATGTCTCATCCATCAAAAACAACAAAATCATTCAATGCAACATAAACACTACATATTGAGAGGTAACAATTCCACTATGAGTAATAAACAAACGATAAAAATGGGGTAAAATAAGATAGTCAATGGATATTAGTGTATTACTCTTTGTTTTTCTTACCTATGAGAATTAATTAGTTGGGTCGGTAGTGTCCTTAAAATTGTATGGTTTCTGTTATATATATATATATATATATATATATATATATATATATATATATATAAATAAACACATTCAACTCAGTTTAAACTGACTTAAACGTTACTATTATTTTAGAGGCAAATAAAGGATAGAATCAAAAGAAAAGAGAATCAGTCGCCAACATTAAACGTTATCTTTTCAACAACAAAGAAAACCCAACTAGTAGTCCGACCAACCCCTAGCCTTCTATTCACTATACAGTATATATATATATATATATATATATATATAGGTCAATAGGATACTTTGTGCTTTAGAAAATGAGAAAGAGAACAAAGAGGAATAAGCGTAGAGAATTTTGTGATTAAAATTAAATAACCTAAGGATGAAAATGATAAAATAATCTCGATAGAACAATGAGAAGACGGAGTTTATATGAAAAATGTGGTGTATTTGCGCTATGCATTTCGAACGATCTGGTCACACATATACTTGTCAGATAAAATAATCAATAGTTGATTAAATCGACTAATTAAGAGAGCACACACATGGAATAAGCTTCCAAATGCCATGGTACGGCTAAGAGTAAAGAGAGTCCGCTTTCCCTCTCGAAATATTTTTGTATAGCCATATACCCATTGCTTTTGCAAGGGAAGTCCTATTCAATGTATTTACGTGTCAAGTATATAAAAATGAGAGGAAAGAAAAATGAGAAACTGGCACTTAAAGCGGGTTGATAGATACGAGGAGTCCCTTTGACGAGGTTGCTAAGCTCTGATATCAAACTAATGGTGTGAATGATGTCCGAAATCCTGAGAGACCGAATGGCACATGAATTCGTCTCGATCACCGGGTACCACATGACAGCATCCACGAACATTGCTCTACTGTCTTGTAGATCAGAACTCAAGGCCGATGACTCTGGAAATGGCCCTTAAGAAAATAACTTTTTTCAGTTCGAGGGCTCAAATATTTATCCCAGCTAACATGCAAATATTTTTCCTGTGGCTCATACTATCTTTTGTTCCAGGTTTTATGTGAATTAAATATTAATAATTTTTCCCAATTATACTCGAAGATTTGAAGTTGGCGTTAAAAATGTAGTTAAAAAATGATATTATCAACAAAATTCTAGACAAAAATATATCATTGGTGTTGATAAAAGGTAAAATTTGAGTAATCTATAAAGCTTAATAGAAGCGATGAACCAAATCAGACGGTCAGATGAATAGTTTGATTTAATACTTTCCGTTTTAGTAATATAACTGCGATTTAATCAAAACTGTAATTGCTGTTTACAGATTACTGATAATAAATCAGAAGTTTCGATTATTATGTTTTTTGAGTGTCGTTAATTAATCATTATTAAATTGCACAGTAAAGTTTAGCTTAATATCTATACGCCAAAGGTAGTAGATGCTGATAAATGAACATTATAACACATCGTTTCTTACAGTCAATAACTATAACATAATGAAGTCAGTACTTATAAGTTAAATTATATTTGAACAAGATTGAGTATACTATAAACACCTTATTTTTAGATATGAAGGGTAATAAAATGTAAGTATTAACAGATGTTTGTTTAACTACAAATTTTCAAGTGGATCACAAGTGTAAGTGTTAAATATCACTTCATGATACAACAATACAAGTGGATGGATTGAGAAAAGGATAATCTGTTAAACTGAGGTGTATAAAAATTTGCCAGCTACATTTTGATGATACCAACATGTAACTTAACAAACATTATACTCCTGTCTTTAAGAAAATACATATTGTTAAATTCTAAGTCCTATACAACATCTATCAGTTTCTTAGTACGGATATATTATTCTTACATTACCAACTAAGATAACTACCCCGTACTTATAAAACTAATGACTATTACGGTGTATACTATGATAACAATTAAAAGTTTACTAATCATAAAATTTCATTTACAGTTCACTTACTTTAAAAAATATTTTTATTGCATTTTTAATCATACAAGTAAGCTGGTCCTTATTATATAATTATTTTCAGAATATATATATATATTTCAACTGACGCATATCCACGTAGTAGATAATTTGAAAAGAATCCAGAAGTGTTTTTAAAATTTGGGACGAATTTTTATCAAATTACTCGAAGACGAAAGGTGTCAACTGCCAAAGGTTCTATAAGCTATTGATCATATCTATGTTAATGCCTGGTAAATAGGTTATTTATTACTCAGTTAAGTTCATTGAAATTACGTAATAAACCTATCAGTTAGATCTAGTTTTGTTTTGTCGAAACACTGTCTACCTAAGCTACAGTTTAGCTACCTGATTACAATCTAACACCAAAAATCAATAAAACTATCAGGAGTTCAGGAGACTTGTAAAACCAATTCTACAAATTTACTTCAAAAAGTATCAACTAATGAGGGATACGAATTCGATCACTTGTTTGGCATTCAAAAAATAAAACAAAAGGCTAATAATAATGATGAAATGTTCGTCTATTTAATCAACCAGTCGGTCATAAGCAACGTGAAATCATATATATCAGCATAGTTGGATGAATGCATCGAGAAGAATGTTACAGTGATGTAAGTATTAACACTATCAATAGTAGTAGAATAGACAAAGTATAGATTCTATGAATCGAGAAGAAAGAATGAATCCATGAGAAATAAAGTAAGACATGATTTTAAGGCTCAGTATCTAAAGGAAGTCAAATAGTAAGTATCAGTACAGTACCAGCCATGTCACTCCAATTATAAGTTGCGATGATTGCACTACAGCCATTATATTCAATACTGACAAAATACCCGGTTTAGTAGAACACTACAAATGCATTCTCCCTTACTAGTTTTTAACTTCTAGTACTTAAGCTGACTAGTCAAGGTCATTCTAATTAAATTTTCTTGAATAAAACTGACCAAGAATTTATTGGTAAATAAGAGTTGTTAATGAAGTGCTAATTTTTGATTAAATTATTTAACCACTAGCTCTTATAATGTTTGAGTATAATAAAAACTTGGCATCAAAATTTGAAGAACTTACATTGTAACTTCCGTTGGGTTGATCTCATCTGTAGGAGGTAGACCAAGAAATGCTCCAATTTTCGAACGACATAAGTCAGCATTATTTTGAATAAATTTGGAAATTTGTTTACTAGAAGACAAGTTTAAGAAATTATGTCTTGCCAAATATTTTAGACCTCTCAATGGATTTCTACAGAAAGAAATAACATGCATATATATAACGTGAAATTAATCTGTGAAACAGTTTGGAAAAGACTCTCTAAATTTAGAACAAGAAACATTATAATTTCACGACTTAAATAATTCATTGTTTGCAAGCAAACATTAACACAACTACATTTGAGAGGTATAAATGAATGATTAACGATCAAGACTCCAGAAACGTCAATGTTAAAGTCAGCCAAAAAACAAAATAGCCTGAGTTCATATTACGTACGTCGAAAGAGACCATAACAAAAACCGATAAGCGATACGTCTATCAAAGTTAACACCTCTCCTTGCAGACACAAAATCTATGCTCTTTGGCACGACGCCTTACGTAGATGTGAGTGGAAGATATACTATAATCTTACGCTAGAAAGCTTCTAGAGTAGTCAAATATTTATCAGAGACCAGTAAAACAGTTTAGCACCGATGTAATCAATCGATGAAGGGCTCAAATAGTCGGAAAATAACTTAATGAAAGAACTATGAAACGGAAACAGAGTTTAAATCGTTTGGATTTTAATTACTAGATAACTGATTTTTAAAATTGTTATACTCAAGAGTAGATGATCAACCTTCAATGAGTTAAACGAGTTAGTCATTACTTGGTATGTAATGTCTGTTGTTTTAAATTTTATTTGAACTACAGAAGTCCACAGCAACTGAAGTGCATATTATTGTAAACAAGGCATATAATCATATGTCAGTGCAAAATAGATTTACGTTTTGGAGGAAATTTCAAACAGCTTATTTTTTAATAAGGTTAAATGACGTGTTTATGACAGTAATGGTAACGAAAACGATGTGAAACATTTTTTACAAATTATCTCAAAAATATGATGGCTTGTCATATGGATACAATATAAATAAATTACATCAACCATTCCCTTTACCAGATGTTTTGATAGATTACTAATGAATTAGATTTTTATACACAATCAAGCCCCCAAATGCCTTGGTATGGCCGAGAGTGGGGAGAATTCGCTCTCCCTCTCGAAATGCTCTCACATGGCCATGCGTATATAGCCTCTGCCAGGGAAGTCCTACTCACTGCCTTCTCGCACCACGGGTGTTGTTTACGAAAATGAGAGGACGAAAAGCGAATGTCCGGCGCTTTAACCGGATTCCAAACAAATGGTGCACATAAGCTCCAGTATCCTGAAGGAACAAGTGGCGTATGAACCAATTGTTGGTCACCGGTTACCACGGGACTGCATCTCTTTACGATGCCACACTGCCTTGTGGATCAGACCTTCAGGTCGAAGGTTCGGGGAGTGGCCCCCTAAGAAAACCACCTGCTTCGGTTTGGGCACCCGGACAGTATCACAGCCCTCACACATATCGAATGAGATTTGTGTGGCGCATATGTATTTGGTGCCTCCTTGTGCCAATATCTATGTGTTAAAATAAATAAATGAATAATAACACAATCAAGCATCTATTCATCCATTTGAAAAAAAAACATTTGCGAAGAAAACTGCACTATCGATTAAGTGAAATAGTAATATGATGTTTTACAGAGCAGATCAATTGTGACCAGAGTGGAAGTCTAAGACACATGATTTGTCATATACAGGGCTCGTCAGTCAGATATACCTGCTTTTTAATGTTGACATCTTTGTTGGTGTAGGCACATCCAATGAGGAGGATAACGTGTTGGTATCTGAAATTTAAGATCGTGAGTTAGAGTTCCAGTGTGAATATCAACATTGGGATGGACGTAGTTCTAGCTGATGAGTTACAAAGGAAAGAAAACGAGCGTCCTGGATTTTACTTCAAACCAAAATATATCTATTCTGTTAAACTTGTAACAAAATGGTTCTATTGAGGTCATTCGCAAAGCATGAGCATATGTCACCAAAAACTAATCAAATTTCAGTCTTTGATATCAGCTGCCGTCTAATTCCAATCCTAACTACTGATAATATCAGTATGACGAATGAAATAGAAGGTTCAGAATTCTAATGAATGCTAATCAACTGCACATCCAAATTAAAAGTTTCTTGTCTCTACAATCATTGACAAATTCAGAATTTTGTTTCCATCTCGATTGAAATTAAAATTATTGGAACACAGTTTGTTAATGAGTTTGTACCAAATTATTATTCTTACGAACTTACCTATTAAATAAATTTACGCCTACAGCATAAATATGTTTACGACAATTGAAACAACTATTAGGTTTAAACAATTGAATAATAGAATTTAGAAAACAATCATGTTTCACAAAATACCAAGAATTATTCACATCATGATAACATTTAACCATATCATCTATAAATGTATAACAACAAGGTTGGGATAAATAAAATTGCCAATTTAGTGTACAGGCCGTACAAATATCTTGTTGTTTATTTGAATCATTTAAAAGTAGACAGGAATTTAGTACTCTGTCATGATTATTATCATTCTTGGTAGTAGTAGTAGTAGTAGTAGTATTTTCATATTGATCTTTACTAATTAAATGTTTCCCTTTTCTCTCTACTTCATCATCATCTTTTTCTTCTCTTTTGCTACAACCACCTTCTTTGAATTTAGTTATTTGGATTGATTTTGAATAGTTTTGTTCTTCAAGGAGGTGAATTTTATCCTTAATCATTGATTGTAATGTATTTGATTTACGTTTCCATATAGGTGATAAAGATGAATTAGGATTTTGTTTAATCTGTTTATTTTCACTTGGGAAATATGACTAAAATATTTAAAGGAAGAAAATAATAATAAAAAAAATGGTTACTTATTAGTTTTACTTATCCCCATTTATTTATGTTATCGAAAACAGGTTTTAAAGTTCAATGCAGTTCTCCTCGAAAAAAATGATATCATTAGTTAGAGCATCACTTAAAATTAGCTGTTGAATGGGAATATTTGTAAGTGCTTCATTACCGTTTTCATTGAGTATACTTAGTAAACTTCCTTTTTTTAGTTACGTATGATACATCGATTTTATTAAAAGCTTATATTATGAGTACAACTAAATCTATCGAATCGAACACTCTGTGAATTAGTCAAACATATATTTGATGAAAAACTTGACTAATTTTTGTTGTTTTTCCTTTCTTTGTGTTTTTATTTTCCTTTTTTTAGCTGTAGATTATTATAAGTATCACGAAAAACAAAGCACAGAGCCGTCTTCGCTACATCATTCATATGTAAACAGGATTTGTCTGCTCTCCTATCAAGAAAATACTCGTTCTGAACCGCTGCATCCTACACAATATTTATAATTTCAAGACGCAAATGACATTGTAATTATGCCATTTACCTAATGCGCTTATGTTAATCTTACACTACTTACTAAAGATAACTTTGAACTTAAAAAATTGATAATTATTACTGGAGTTTTGATAACAACTCAGTACTCAAAATTTTTATCATCTATGATCATGTATTCCTTCTGCTTTACATGATTAAAATGTTTGAGACAAATGCTCAATTGAAATAAAATATGAATCACGCTTTTCAAATAGTGTATCCTTGTTTTTTGGCATTACATTCTTTTTCGTATTGATTTAATCATGCCTGGGAATAGGTGTGAATTTTGTAACTATTTTTAAAGTGTATAATAATTACCGTTACTATTATCAATAAATTTTTATCATGTTCGTTTTGAATATTTTGTAGATACTACTAATATTACTATTTATACTACTCTAGCGTTTATCGTGATAATTTCAACTTATTATACTGATATATTCATGGCAATATGAACTGATGCATGTGTATACTGTATGTACATGTGACTGATTGAATGACTAAATGAAATCATAATCTAGTCTGAAATCGAATATAAATATACTAGACCAATGATGGAAAATTAAGATTTCTCAGGTCTAATAATGATTAGAACTCTCTTCCTAATCAGAAATATTATTAAGCGTAGATTTCAATATCAAAAACATATCAAATAATCTGTAACCAATTCCTGAAATTACAGTCTACGCATATTTAGTAAGAATGATATTGACTAATTTCTCGTTAGATTAGGTTACAAAAATCCTGGGAGTAAAGTATGAAAACATTGACCAAACTATCACTATGTTCATCAATTAGAAGTCACTGAACATATACTCAATATATGAGGAAAACAACTCTTTTAATGTAAAGATTGTGTCTATCCTTAGCTAAATTTTATCGAATGTCTACAAAAATCTGAGCATAGTTGGTTTGCAAACCAACACTTTATTGTTGCTCCTGTTACTAAGAACAATCTATTGATTACCATAAGGCAAGTTTTATCAAATGTACCGTAAAAGAATTACAGTAAAGTTATGTGAGTATAATATAAAGCCGTAATGAAATAGATTGATGCTCAGTTAAAGACAATGTGTATCTCGTTTATGTACTTACCTTTAAGAGAGTTTTAGATTCTCCCGTATATGAATGCAATCGGATAGTTGTTCCACGAATTCTTCCTTCTACCATTTTACTGCTTGAACTTTTGGAGCATGTACACTTTGTAAGGTCAGTTTCACAACGTACTAAATTGGTTGTATTTAAAATATCTTGAATGTAACAAATTTATTCATTAAAAAATTAATACAAAACAAAACATGTATTAAAAAGGTGATATTTTTAAACAGAGAGCAAAATGGTATAATGCAACTAGTGATTTCAAAATATTAAGTGTGATGTTAGTTGAACATTAAAGTCGTTATCAGTCAGTTCTGAAGTTACGCGTTTCTTACCTATTCTATCTTTGATCAGTTATGTTTAAATTATTGGTTAAGTGTACAACAGAACATATGACATTTAGAGAACTATGGAAATGTTTCATCTCTATTCATTAGTGAGTTGTAGCTAAGAGTAAATACGAATTGCAACTCTTTAGCAAAGAAAACGTATTAAGTCAGTATAAAAATAAGATGCTAAAAAACTGACTATTGGTAACAAAAATGAAATAAGTTATGGACAAATTAATTAACTTATTAAGTACTTGGGGATTACCCGCACTCGTAGTGTAAGGGCTAATGATATAACTCGGTTGCTCAAACCCAAGTAGGTGGAACAAGATTGGAACCTGGATTTTAGTGGCTGAATGACGAATACCGTAAGCACTAGGCCATCGCTCCGTGTGGTAACATATAACTATGAAAGCGTTTCGTTTCGTAAGCCGAAAAGTATTTACACAATTTCTAAATCATAGGAATTCTTAACCTGCTATCAGCCAATACAGCATTGTGCTTCTTATCAACACATCGACAATACAGTACAGCTCATGTTAACAGTTATAAGAGATTTTTGATTAAGTTAAAATAATAAAAAGTAAGAGTTCTTCAGCGTACTTTATTTAACTAAAAATCATAAATGCTATACAGGAAAACAAACTAAATATCTCGAGGTCTTGAAAAAACTACTTCAGAGAATATTGGAAATGGTAATACAGAAGTTCTGAGGTTACTTGAGTGATTCACACCTTTATTAAAATGAGTCAACGGGATAAGGATAGAGTTTTTCTACCACCTTAACTTCCCTGATAAACTGCTGAACTATATCGCTAATGGATATTAGACCCATATCATTGTTGTGCAGCATTTAATGGAATAAAAATGAATATGGGTATGATACAGCAGTTGTCAAAATGATTCAAACACTTATTTCCAACTTCATTTACTGGCATTTTTCTGATTAGTTGATCCTTTATCAATCAATTCGTGAAAGTTTAATGGTTTTTTAATAGCTAATCAGAGTTTGATTTATTCAAATATCCCAAACGGTTGACGAAAACTCTTCAGAATCATTTCATATATGATGCAAATACTCGGAATATACTATAATGAGTTCGTTCCAAACAAAGATATTATGATATTCCCTTGGTATTGTTTACTTTAATCTTCCCATTGATGTTTAGGACTGAAATTGATCAGTCTGTTGTTGGCATATGAACATACTATGCTTATTACCTCGATATTTTCTTAATTCACAACCATTATAAGCAAAGATGGATAGTGGCTAGCAACTAAGCAAGTAGCTATTAGGACTCAGTAGCTAAGTGGATAACGCGATGGCGTTTGAGGTGAACGGTACTGGGTTTGAGTCCCAGAGTGAATATCAACTCTGAGATGCAGATATATCCGGCTGACGAGTCTCAAATAGGACGGAACGAGCGCCCTGGATCCCACTGCTAGCCTCTATCCATCTTTCCTTATAAAGATATTGTGAAAGATGAAAAAAATAAGTAAAACCCACTTCATTTTTTATTAAACGAAATTAGATATCTTACTATTTCCGTTCCTTTGTGTGAGTGCAATCATAGTTTGTGATTGAGGGGCGTGACTTGGAACTGGTGGAGGTGTCGAAGAGAGACTAGTTTTACACTCAGGAACCAATCCTTTATGAGGGAGCAGAAGATAGTTAGGGGAATAATTTACAGAATTGCTTGAATGTGAACTTAAGCCAGAATCTCTCGCGGATGCACCGATTTGCCCGAAATGCAGAGAATTTAAGTGGTGCTTGTTAGATTCATCAGAGAATGGCTCTAAGCGTTTATCCGGCTGAATATATTCCGCCTCGTTACCAATCACAGCCGTATAAGAAAGACTACTGGTACCGCTACTGCCGCTTACTTCTAAATCACGATCAAGGTGGATTGCTGGAAGAGATTTTCTTGAAGCGTTCAAAAATGTTTTTGATATTTTTGATCCAGAGACATCAAACTCAGTGTTGAAATCATATAAAATGTTATTTGTTGCAATTATTCTGTTCTCATTTAATGTAGCTGGATGCAAGGTTTGGGTATGAAGTCGATTTACATTTATGAGAGCCATCGCTGGAGGGACTGAGTCGGAATCATCGCTATACCAGACTGACGAACTTGATTTAAACGACTGGTTTCCTTTGCGCTTGAATTTGTTACCCTTAAAGAGTAAAAAGAAAAGACTATGGAACATTGCAACGATGTGAATTATAATTTTTAAGCCAATTCATTCACAAGATGAACCAAAACTTTGTATTATAGTAACTAGTAACCATAACCCATCTAATAATTTTCATGACTAGCTTTTTCTCAGTATACAAAGACGCAGTAGTCGTAACTGTTTATCACTAAACTGTGCGTTTCCCTTCTTTTCGTAAAATGTTTTGTTTAAAATACCTAATTCACCAACCAACTTATGTAAAACATTCGTACCAAATAACATTACTTAAAGTAATTTTATGCTGTTTGTATCTCATGAGAAATCTTGAAGGACAATGAATCAATTTAAGCTCGTCAATCTTATGGTTTTTGTCTTGTTTAAAGTTATAAACGGAAGCAGATGTAAGAAGCAATTCTGTTGAAACCAGTTGCTGACTATATATATATATATATATATATATATATATATATATATATATATATATATATATATACATATATATATATATATATAATATTCCGAGTCCGGTTACAAAATACTCCTGCAAGGCTCGTCTTTTTGTTTGATATTTTACCTGAAGTCTAGAGAACATCACATTTTCTGGACGCTAAAACTAAGACATCCGGCCAGATGCATATAAGTGAGGCACGATAAGTGTGAAAAATATCATCGACAATTTATATTCTATCTAATGCCTACCTGTTGGAAGTCCTTTTGAATGACATTCAGATCGTGTTTTTCTTCGGAGTACATACTTGATCGTAGTTTATCATCAGAAGAACAAGGAACACAACCAGGACACATTTTGTTAGATAATTTGTCCAATTTTAAATAATTGATTACGGAATGAGATAGATAAAAGGGATGCTCCAATTTACAGTTTTTCTCTTCAGACCGACTTCGTAGTCTAGATGTAACATAAAGATCACGCGAATAAGATGTGCTCTCTGAAGTAGTAGAAAAAGAACTTGGAGTACTTGTGTAGCATTTGCATTGATCCAACATAGAGTCTGGGTTTTCCAAAGATTCATCACACCATAGGCTAGTTGGATCCCCAGCCCTGTTATACTGACCAAATAAACTGGTTTGGATAACACTGGAGTCCGCAGAGTGTAAAGTGGAATTCATAGCATCTTTATGTTCTGAATAAGACTATGGGTAATTAATGACAAACATCTATAACAGAAAAAATAATATTAAATATTCAAAAGACATTCTCTATGTTAAAAAAGACCAGAAATGGCTACACAATTTATAAGGGTGGCTTATCACTATTAAAGGTCATATGAATAGTACTATAATAAGTGCATATCTAAATCCCGAGATGAACATTGGTTTAATTTTATGTTGTTCATCTGAAAATCATCCTATATCAAATATGATCACGAAATGCTCCGGAAAGTCCTCGAACTTTTTATGAACTTTTGTCATGCATACCATCGCTATGAAGATGATAAGTCAGCTAGTAAATAATTAAGCTTTCCCTGATAATGTTGCTTTTAACCTTATCCAAATTATCAAGGTCAATCAGTACCATTAGAAGCCATATAAACTGGTGATAAAGTTGTTTGCATATGGCACAAGCTTTTTTCGATTATTACCATTTTTCACAAAATGTGTCACTAGAAATTAATCCAATCCCGGAAATTTTAAATCGAAAATTAAAGTTTACCATATTCGTATAACAACCAATAATAATTTTTCGGCTATACGCACCGTGGCCCCTTGGTGAAATAAGTGTAATATCCAGCTATAAGTGAGACGATCAACACATGGCCTACATTTGAAATTTAGTACTTTGAAACTTTTTTTGACGATTTCATATCGCTGTGTTTATGCAGTATGACAACTTGAACTGATGTACACGCGCACCACGTCCTAAGTTGCATTTGACTGACTGAATGAACCAATTTTTCGCCACTTTTTCTGAACCCTGTTACATGACTCGACTAAATAAAAAAACCAACGTGAGTCTGGAGATTATCAGTATGAAAACTGCAAGAAACTATGCACTTTCTAATAAACCAGTATCATAATAATAAAATCACTGCCATTGTGGATTATTTCCATAGTTAAGCATTTGTTTTAGTCCACATATAAATTTATTTATCTTATTTACTTTATGATAATAGCTTCTAGACCTTTTTCTACGTTTACATGAAGCGTTATTTCTTTAGAGGATTAACTAGTCTGTCATGTTCTAGCGAACACGGTTTATCTGTTAAGAGGAATATCAACTGAAAAGTCGTTGTATTTATGGTGTTGAATAATAAAAGATAAAGAGTGATCATATCGTCAACCTTTAGGTTTATAGTTATTGGCTGTCTCGACTTATGTTTGTATGAAGTGAAACCATCCTTCGTAAATTAATAAATTAATTCCCTTTCTCAAGACAAAGTTTCAAAAAACAGACATTTGATTGTGAAGCAAAACTACGAAAACAGTGAGTTTAGAAGGGAAACGCGTAATACATATGTATTATCCCGAAAAAAGTCCTAGTAATCCAGATAGGGCGACAACTTAAAAATTATTGAAACGGAACGCTCTGACTTTGATGTTCAATGTCTGATTATTCGGAATACCAACCGAGCAACTTATTTTATATTAGTGTCTCAGTGTAATTTGAAAGTTTAAGATTTATGCAAAAATCGAGTGAAGCTTATTCAACTACTTGTTTACAATGTTCGCCGAATATTCTGAGGAGATTTTTAAATTATGATTAATGTTTTCCCAGAAGATCCAGACTGCTGGGACGCTGCTGTTATTTGTTTCTCATTGGAATAAAAACCCAAAAGATAGAGAATGATAAAGTTTTCTAGTAATAGAATAACTAATCTTTTGGTGATTTGTCCAGTTTTCAAAATGATTTTTAGCAGTTTACGTGTTTATACCCATTTGTTTAACTTTCTCTTACTAGTATATTCCGGACGTTCATTAATCACTGAGACGTACTTTGAAGGCTCTCGGAGAGGACTGTGGAGCCACCAGGGCGTACCTACTCATCCACCGATAATTCTAAATTCGTTTTCTCTCGGGTTAGAGAAGTTCACTTACGAGATCGATAATTTATGGGTTAGGGAAGTCTTGCTTATAGTTAACTGTAGTCATAAATAAGTCCCTAAAATAAATAGTTCTGTCAGCCTTCGACATTGATGTGGATCTCAGTAGTCTCACTGAACGCATCCTAGCTAAAGGCACTCGGTCACGTATCAGCACCAAATCACGAGCGTGTACGCCTGCTATTCATCCCTTGAAACTACTAGTCAGCTTAGATCAAATGATTTTAACACATCAAAAACCTACCAAATACACCCTCGAATCCATTCATGTTATCTTCCGGTTTGACTGGTATGATATCCTTCGACCATAGAAGTGTTAATGGCAAACGTGTTCTTAACTCTGTATATCTGTGGCGCTTTTATGGATGAAATATGATGTAATTTGGTGCTGTGAGTTTGTTCTTTGTTATGACATTACGTATCATTTTTTTACTTATCGTGAAATTATTATTTTGTCGTCGGATTTCTTAGCCCATTTACATATTTTATCTTCATAATAACGATACAGACACCCAAACTGTTAAAGATCTCTGTGCTTACACCGCCACGCCTTCATCTCAAAACATTTCTGGCCTGAAACCTGGTTCTACTGAGCAGAAGTTGACTGCTACGTGTAAAATGCAAAAGATCCACGTTCGTAATTTGTCGCAGTAGTAATTGCACTGCTGAGTAACTTAAGGAGGTACGTCATTGATGTTTTTGAACCCTATGACACCTTGGATTCGGCCATCCTCAAACGGAGAAACGTGACCGATCGACAGATGTTAGAAGAGCTCTTCAGCAACTTCGAATCACATCACGCCTCGGAAATGGAAATGTTGCTACATACGCAAACTTTCTATGTGAGCCTTTTTAGATAACCGTCCTTACCTAGGCCTCCCCAACAGGTGCTAGCGATTCTCAACTCATTTCGAAACAGTTTTGTCGGCGAACTGGCTGTATCTATCAACTCGATTCTGGAGATTACCAGAACACCAGCACCAAGGCTTATTCTGTCAAAGAAAATCTTCAAGCGATACAAATAACATCACACATCTCCATAACACTCTTCTTCGGTACTTTAGTGATCATCATAATCGTGGTGCCTTACAACTACCCAAAGAAGCCTGTCATCAAAATGGATCTACCTTTAGACCATGAGAGAGCTAGCTCTAAATAATGTCGGTATCGAAACACTCATGGCCAGTCTTCTAGAAATGGAATAAAACCATGTAGTCTCTAAAACTTCAAATCTTCCACCACGATAAAACCTTTGAGGAAACTTTCTTGCTGGCACGCGTCAACGACAACTGCAGCCAGTGAAAATACTTGCCCGATATGCGTCACTGACGTGATGACGAAAGTTCGCTATCTCGTTGACTCTAGAGCAGAAGTAGGAGTTCTTCATGAGGACAGAAATGACCGTCTTCAAACTTATCGCCACGATCGGTGAAATGCATGTTTGTCTTAACGTGGGTTTGTAACACCTTCCAAACCTTGCACTATCAACTTGTTGCTTCGGTTGTTATATTATTTAAATCCCACTCTCGTATCATTTCTGAAGGTTGACATTTGCTTTCGTTTATAAAAGTAAGTATGTAGAATTATGGTGTTCTTCTTTATTAGTATTGCTCTAATAACAGAACTGATCCTAAAATAGCAGATTTCCCATTATTTGACTACCTAATCTATGAGATCTCACGTGTAAGTCACAGCATTGTCTACACTGACTCTTCCTATCGTAATCACCAATATATGGCGGGGGACACATTTAGGATGGCGATAGAACAATAAATTTAATATGAATAAAGGAGGTACGTTACATAGGAATGACCATGCTTGCAAGGCCGAGCCATGCTATCCGGTGATATGAACTAATTCTTCCCGCTGTCTCCTTCGTTCGGCCTTTCTCTGCGTTAAATGTCGAATATCTGTTTTCCCAGTTGTTTTGCGTTCACCTTTGAGGATTGTGTGATTAGGTCCCATTTCCATTACAAGTACATTCTAGGTGCTCACTGAGCGATCGACTAATTGTTTCACTTGTTCTTTTCCCGTCCAGATAATTTCACTTACTGCCACTGACACACTTTAGCACAAAAAGTACATTCAAGCTAGAGACAAACCTATCAAATGTTGAACATTACAAGTTTAGGCGAACTCATTCACCGGATTTTTGTTGTTGCAGACGTGTCAGTCCCAATAATTGGCGAACATGCTGCAAGACCCAAATCTACTCATTGACCTTATTGAACGGAGGTTAGTAGACGTCAATACAGAGTTATCTTATCGTGGAGTTTCCTTTTCTGGTAGTCACGACTATAAATATGATCGGCTTATACTTTCACCAGACTCTCGATAAGTACTCTGAACTTTACGAGACGCGAACGAAACCACCATGTTTAACCACCAATGTCACTCATCGCATCGCTAACCTGTACTTTCTAGAGGTCATCCACTAGCTTCATAAAGACAAGGTTGGTCAAAAACGAATCACAGCGTAAAATAAAATTTGAACTTTCCTGGCCATACATTAGCCCATGGGCATCACCTTTGCACATAGTACTTTAAAAGGACAGTGACGATTAGGTTCCAAACGGCGATTATCGGAGAATTCATACAAAATTCAAACCGGATTGTTACTGTTTGCCACACATCTACGACCTGACAACCGCGTTGGAAGGTACAACTGTTTTCCGGGTAACCAATTTGGTTAAAGCATATAACTAAATTCTTATAGCTGCAGACAACATGCCTTAAGCTGCTATTATCACACCCTTTGAATTCTACGAATTTTGCGCGTGCCTTTAGATTTAATGGATGCTGCACAAACTTGTCAGACATTCAGCAATGACTCATTAAGAGGAATCAACTATGTGGATGCGTATATAGATGACAGGTTGACAACACGTCCGGACGGAGAATTGCATTTCCAGCATCTTGACATTATTTTAAAGCGAATCGTACAGCATGGCATTACTGTGAACATTCAGAAACACCAGACCTGTACAGATTCAATGGTTGGTATCTCGGTGAGAGTGGAACATGTACTTGTTACAATAAACGTAGAGAAGACTTCGCTAAGATGGTTTGAAAAAGTTTCGGCTTTCGCTCGATCTGATTCAGCTAGTAATTCAGAATTTTCGTGTAACAGTAAAAGTGGAATACCATCACTACGTTTCATTCGCCGTTCAACATACGAAAACAACCGCTTCCGACAAATACGGCTATCATATACTAACTGTCCTTCATAAGTGGTAAGGGATTTTACTATGGTTTTCTTATAGATATTACGGAATTTCTGGTACTCACGCTTAAATGGTTCATGACCTGTCAACAAGAATAAGTCCCAGAAATGTTTTCTACACTTTAACAGCTTCCGGGTTTCCTTATTAATCCATGGAGGGTAATGTGATAGCTTACGTGCTGCCCATGGGGTAAACGGCGACGTTACGGACTCGAATGTCGCCTTAAACTTATTTCATTCATCTTCGATCAATCCATCCGCGTCGACCGACCAATCAGTCGAGATAGCACAGTTTCTGATTGCCGGAATATTGGCTCGCCAGATATTAGGATGGGGTGGGGCAGTTCCGAATTGTATACCATGTGTCTTAAACTTAAAGTGAACTACAACGTGATCACTGTTCACTAATGGGGGAAGGTGCTGAATATCAAATACATCCTCACAGTGGTGGGTGAGAGTAAGGTCCAGCAGTGACGGATCATGATTGAAATTAATGTGTCGGTTTTTTGATACATTGTACAAGTGCACACCGAATAACGGTAGATAAAAGGTCGCTATCGAAACCAATACCTGGAGCTGTAAGCTCTATCCAGTTGATATGCGGTGCGTTGAAGTCCCCAATGATGAAACAACATTCTGTCATACTCCAAGAACAGATGTGTCCCAGATGTGTCGTCACCAAGACAAAACGGACTACGATATATTCCCCCTATATTCACTAACCCATTTCTAGATTTATTCTTACAACATGCGACATCACATGTACCACTGATATGAGCCTCCGATATTGTTGATTGTATACGAAAGTGATCCCTAACGTATAATATTATACCTCCCCCTTTGCGACTTGAAACTCTATCACTTCTAATACAGATATAGCCTGAAATGAAAGAAGAACAATCTATATCTACGGTGAACCAAGTTTCTGTAACAACGATTATATCGGGACATAATCCTTCCACCATCAGACTTAGCTTGGACGTTTTATTTCTAAGACTACGAGGGTTCGTGTAGCACACACTTAAGGTGATTTGGCAATCAATCGTTCTAACCATACAGGCCTCGGAAGCATTGGCTTCCAAGACCTGACTACCCGAAAACCCTTAATGGTAAGGTTGTTTTCGTCGTTTAATTTGTGAGTCCTCAACTCCGTAAGAGCATTCTTCCACTTGATTTGATCCTCAAGCGGCCAATCTGGTCGAATACGGATATTTGAGTCACGAGATTTTGGTGCGTTTTTCAATT